AAATTATTTTATTAAATATTGATACTTATATTTAAAAATTAACTAAATTTTTAAATTTTGAATTAAAATTTTAATTTTTAAATATAAGTTAAAACTCTATTCTTTTAAAAATCGAGACTAAAACATACAATTTCCATGAATCAATATATAAAGAAGATTCGTTAAAAATATTTGAATAATTTTATAAGTAGGTTTATCAATTAAAATAATAAGATATCTTGATTTTAATTTTTACTTTTTTTTTATATTTTATTTTATTATTTGTTTTAAATAATGTTTTTTTAAATATAAATATATCTTAATAATATGTAAAGCGAGTACGAATTTTTTAAATAACAAAACTTTATTAAATGAATACAAAAAAATACTCAAATTTATATACAAAAAAAAAAATTATCAATCACTCTGCGCAATTAAATTATTGATTTTTAACCAAGTTTCAACTACCCATGATAAAGTAGTTCATTTACTAACACATACCCCTAGAGTCATGATCCGGTCTGACATTAAAAATAAATAAATAAATAAATAAAAACCTTCCGTTTCCTCTAACTTTTACCCACTGACATGTCTCTAAAAATAAACGGAAGGATTAAAAGAGCCAAAATTTCAATCTTAAAGGACCCAATTAAAAATGTTTTAAGTTTATACTCTAAATTAGGGCTCTTTCTTTTTTTTTTGGCCGGTGTGTTCAATCAATGGGCCCTCTAAACCTGCTGGAGAGCTCTTATGTGTTGTAAGGTATATGATGCATATAACACTCCCGCCGGGTCGAAATATAAATGGGGGCCAACATCCATACCCCATCCTCAACTTTTGGTCCTTTCAAAAGATTCGGTATGCCAGTGGTGGCATTCCCAACAAAATCTCATGCTGTTTCTTCTATTCCTTTTATCTCTTCTGTCCTTACCAAGGAAGATACCATCAAGGAAGAAGAGCAAGACCCACAAAATCTACCTTTGATTTCAAATCCTATATGGTCCAAAAGGTAAATTCTGTCAATCAAGCCTTGGATGCTACCGTTTCGCTTTGGGAACCTTTGAGGATCCACGAAGCAATGCGCCACTCACTCTTGGCTGGGGGAAGCGTGTGAGACCGATGCTCTATATAGCAGCGTGAAAGCTCATCAACGAGCATAAATTGACGGCCATGTCGGCT